CCCCCCCATGGTTTTTCGCGAATAACTCGCGTAAAAAGCGGCCGATCGCGACGAAACTTTCAGTACCCTCGCATTGATCAATTTGACACCTACCCTGAAAATTTCATGACCCTGACCCAAATGACCTTTGACCTGTGACCTCTTTTCCGAGACCATGTTTGGCCGGAATCGCGATTCGGCGTACGTCGGCTCGCATTAGCCGCGCGTTTGCAAGCTTTTCGTGGTTTCAAACGTTCAAACATGTGATTTGATGTTGCTCCCATGCATTAGGGTGGGTGTCAAGATCACCTGAAGGTCAGGTCAGGTCATTGACCTTTGGTGACCTCGGGTGACCTCGGTTCACTTTTTCGAGTTTTACATGTTTCTAGGCTAGTTTTTGGAGCTGAACTCGAATTTAGCAACCATTTGAACATTTACGAAGTAGTTTTGGTGCCTTCGTAACATGTTACGAAGCTGTCAGAGGCGGTTGACACGTACTACGAATACCCGTCACGACGCCTACTGATTGACCTGACCTGACCTGACCCGACCTGGTCTAAATGCTTAAAGACATCATCTGTGATCAAAACTAACACGATATTCGTGATCAGCACCCCGAAAAACCCCTTAGCAGCCACACTTTACGACTTTCTAATAGGTCCCGATTTTCCCGGCTTTGGGTCATTGACCTGACCTGGAAGGTCAACCAATGACCTAGGACCTTAAAATTGGGTATCATCGGCATCCTCTCGTCACGGGCAACACGCTCGTTTTTTCCGCGAAGCTCTAGCTCGATCAGGGGCCAAACGGCAAGGGGGGTGCAACCGACCCCCCCCCCCCTACACATTAGAAGCTGGAAAACGCCGCACACATGCGAGGGTTGATGTTGCTCCCATGCATTAGGGTGGATGTCAAGGTCACCTGAATGTCAGGTCAGGTCACTGAACATTGGTGACCTCAGTTCACTTTTTCGAGTTTTACATGTTTCTAAGCCAGTTTTTTTTTGTAGCTGAATTCCAATTTAGCAACCATTTGAACATTTACGAAGTAGTTTGGTGCCTTCGTAACATGTTGCGAAGCTGTCAGAGGCGGCGCCGTATTCGCCAGTTCTGGCCAGCCGGTGACGCACGGCTGTCCACTGTCCAGTTCTGGACCGAGCCTCGGGACGGCTCAGTCAGATAAGCACGAGTTACTGCATCCAGTTGGCCGCATATTGCCCACACATTGGCCGATTACGTTCCTATCACTGCTGCCTAGAGGACGGCCAAACCACGTCCCGCGCCCAGTTACGACCTGACTCTCCGCCGCTCGACATCCTCATTTTCGCGACATTTCTGCGACGAGTTCCGGCCAGATGACAAAAGTGGCAGTGGCCGTCTGAACTGAAGTGCAGGCCGCGCAGCTGGGGAGGCCGTTCTCCGCCGAGTACCGGCCCCCACACATCTGGAGCCCATATCTCAGCGAGCCAGCGCCTCCTTTCGCCTGAGACGGCCGTGTACGACGCCAGTATCAGTGGCAACTGGCACCGCACCCGCGCTCCGCCCGTCCGTCCGTCCGTCCGTCAGATGCGGCCATACGTGTCCGTGATCGGCTCTGTCCGACGCCAGATTGTCGTCACACCGATGACCGAGCGCCCGCCGTCATCACGCGCTCGGCCAGGCACGGACGTCAGCGACCCTGCGGGGTACGGCGACCAAGCACCGGCCCTGCACGACGGGCTCGAACGCGTTCAGTCGCCAGTGCTGGTAAATGGCAACTACACCGCTGATGTTTTACTCGTATGTTTTTGATAGTCATGTGTAAGACGGTGAAACACCACCTACAGAGCAAACATCTGAGTAGCTCCTGAACTCTATAAGTCGATACTGATTTTTCACTTTAGACTACATGATAATGAGATGAACTCAATTTATTAATTACAAGAGCACACAACTTCGAGTCCACATAACAATTCAGTAAATGCAGTAGCCAGTAGCCACAAGCACTCAAAACATGGAGCAAGAATGTGACTTGAAGGACATTTAATCTGGTTTGAGAAGCGGTGTTACCACTTTATCTTACCAGTTACCACTTGATTCCTGTTTTGATACACTAACTCAATCAAAAAATGACCTCACAAAAGGTTTTCTGAGTTCAATCGGCATGACTACACACTATTACAATGGGTCAGCATGAAATGTGCAATGATACATGAAACACAGGAGCAAAACTTCTCACTGAACAAAAAGGAAGAAAACTGTATGGCAGCATGGATACATGATTGTTTCCTACTTGATGAGATGAGACTCATGGAGATGACAACTAACAACAGCACATCAGTCAGGTTCATGATGTGTTCAGTTTCACCACAGACGAGCTATGCTGCTGCTCACCACTATCTGATGGCTTCCCATCAGGCACAGCACCCAACCCACTGTGTCCCTGCACCTGTTCAGCATCTTCAGCAGTCTCACTGGAGGGTGCAGATGGCACCAGCTCATCACCTGGTGCCTGGTCAGACTGGCAGCCGTCAGCACCACCACCAGATGCGCCAGTACCATTGGTGACAGCTGCCTGCTCCTGGCTGCCACAGACACTGTGAGTACCTGACTTAGATGGACTGGAACCATTGTCATTTCCCCCTGGGCTCTGTGTTTTGAGTTTCTTTGCTGAGGGGGAGTTGGTTTTGGTTTCCTTAGATCTTTTCACACTCAGTTTTGTGTCTTTCACTTTGACCTTGACCTTTTTCACCTTTTCAAGCAGGACAGCATCTTTGAAGCTAGACTGAGGTATAGTCCACTCAATGATCTGATCACCTGATGCTGTACATTTTGTGGGATCCTGGGCCTCGTCATACTCCTTTATCTCCACTCCAAGCCTTTTGCACAGTTGAGTCATGACATCATCAACATAGGTGTTAATAATCAGGTCTCCCTTCTTGTCATGCTTTGTGGGCTGCAGGTTACAGATCACCAGCTTTCCACCACGTTTCTTTGTCCATGTTGGTAAGTTGCCACTGGGAAGAATCTGCAATGTGGTTCCCAAACAAACACTGAGATCAGCAACTTCTGAGTGCATCTCAGCCAGTTCCAAGTCCTTTTCAGGCAGGGAGCCCTCCCAGTCCAAGATGATGTCATGCAGCTTTCCCCGGCATCCTCTACCTGCCTTCCCTGTTCCAGGACAAGGCAGGTTGAGGCACTTCTCCCCAACTGTGGTCACGGCTGACTTGCGAACAAACTGCCTCTTGCAGAAGTTGCACTGGTGAACGAACATATTTCCATGCAGTTCTGACATTTTAAGCCTTGGCAATCCAGACTTTAAGTGGAGACCATCAATATTTTGAGTGATGACATACTGCACATACCCTGCCTCTTGCAATGATGCTAAGGCCAGGTGAGTGGTTGTGGGCTTTGCATCATCCCATGACACATTGATTTCTGGCTTCAAGCCTTTCTTCTCCAAAGTCCAGACACCATTCGGTCCACGGAAATCAGGAATACCAGCAGAAGTACTGACACCTGCACCTGTGTGAAAGACAACATGGCCAGCTTTCTGAATCATAGTGGCCAATTCACTCACCTTCTTCTGAACTGTTTCCAGCGAATCAAACTTTTCAGGCAATCCACACTTGCCTTTATTTTCATATGGAGACAAGCCTTCTGCATAGTTACAGGACATCTCAAGATTCAATGAAACATACCAATGTAGATGAACATTTATTGAAACAATTCAATTTCAAATCTTGATTAGCTTTCTTATCTTGTCATATTTGCAATAGGATCACATATCACATGCTTGATTTGGATGGTTTCAGCTTGCTGACAAAATGAATAAGAATTATTGAATTTTAAGACCAGACCAATGAAAGAAACAACAAAGCTTGAAACAGAACAATCAATGTTCTGATGGATACATGTGAGGGCACTTGATCAATAATAAATTGATGACAATAACACAGCTTTTGACCTTACAATTCACAGGCAGAATACTTTTTTATTGTTTTATTCACTTTATGCTTGTCCGGTTTGTCACAGATGCGCAGGATATGAAAAAATATGGTAGCGGAGAGATTACTACCAAATTACGAAAATACTCTTACTTTGCTTCATGGAATCTTGGCTTCATGCTCCTCAGATTTTACCTCAGATATGAGTAAACGTAAATATCGTTTTCTGCGGGCCAACAGAAAGGAAAATCTGGCTGTTCTTATTGACTTGACAACAGGGAACGTTAAGCAGCTGCTTATTGAGGTCAGCATTTGCTTCGCTTGCTTCGAGATCCGCTGAGATATCCATTCACACTCGGATCCATACATAGGTATCAGTATATATGCCGGTCCTATTGGGTCCCGTAGCTCAGTCGGCAGAGCACTGTTGGACTCCGCGTGGTGAGAGCACGCGTTCCCGATTATAATAGTCCGGGTTCGAAGCGCGACGGGCGCTTGACATTTATGGGTATCCTGACAGATATGGTTGCGGTTGGTGGCAAGCCGTAGCCAGGCGAAGTCAGTAGGGGACCGGCTGATACTGCCGCCCTTGACCGGCTGTGCGCGGCTAAGTGCGCACGTTAACCCGCGCCCCGCTGGGGGTAGGTACTGGATTTCCACGCCCTTCCGGGGGAGGGGGGGGGGGGGGTGTTTGAATGAACACCCCCCTTCTAACTCGGCTCCTAGGCCACATCATCCAATCCAAGGCTGTGGAACTATCGAATGCGCTTTTCCGCGGTGCTGTAGCTCTATCGGTTCCCGAGATTAACGTGGCGGCAGTTTCCAAAATGTTGAAATAGTCAACATTTTACCTTTGGTGACCTCTGGTGATCTGACCTTTGACCTGACTCAAAAAATGACTTGTGTTTTCGCCCTTATTTTGGACGTTCTTTCGATTGCCGCTTACCGCGTGTCGCTACGTGGCCCAGGAGCCGAGTTAGAAGAGGGGGGGGGTGTTCAGACACCCCCGGCCCGCGGGAATCTCGGAGCACCGGCCCGGCGCGGGTTATCGTAGGCGTGGCTCCTGGGTGATCCATATCAGAAATGAAAAAGTTTGAAGGCTGCAAGGCACTTTATTTATTGCGTTCGAATGGCATAAACAGTTTTTAGCGTATTATGTATTAGCACATGCATACCAGAAAAAATATCAACAAAAGTTGAAAGAAAAATGCTACAAAACTATTATTTGTTGCGTCGATGCCAAAAAAGCCCGATAAAAAGTAAATCGGCTGCACGCAGCGAGCTACTAAACGCCCAGCAGAAATCGTATCTCACACTGCTCAGTCAGGACACATTGAACGCACACATGAAAGACACTGCGCTCCTCTAACTTACTCAGCCAATCTAGGGCTAATCATCACAAGGCATACAAAATGCATTATCACCACACGACCACATTGCGCTACATCCAATGATCCATCAGTCTCTGTTTCAACATGTTAATCACACATTCATGCGGCTTCGATGCAAGCTTGAGGCTTCGCAAACTTTCTACGGAGCCAAATGTTACATGGGCGTAGAACGGGGGGGGGGGGGGGTGACCCCCATTTCAGACATTCTTTAAAGTAAAAATCTTTATTTTTGATTTGAATACAAAGCTAAGAGCAGAAAATGGTTGAGAAAGGCAAGATGAGCACAAAACTGCAAATAATTTCTTCATATGGGTAATGGCCTAATGGGGCTCCCACAAAGTGACATTGATGTTTCGCTGCCTGCCCCCACACTTTTCGTGAGGGTCCTACGTCCATGATATGTTATAAAGATATTTCGGAATTCAGTTCGATAACAGCCATGCTCATTTAAGGAATCCCGGTCAAAATCATTGAAGTCATATCCGCACATACATGGGCGTACTCTATCAAAACACATTGTGCGACCTCGGCCGGGAACATCCAGAAGCGAACATTCACGTGCGAGTGTTAGCGGCTGGTGTGCGCGCATCGGATGCGTACCAAGGCAGCGAGTGCAGTGCCACTTTACCTCATTTACGCCAAAGATACGCACATCAAATAACGCTCGGTCAGTGTGGCGCCGCATTGTAATGACAAGAGTCCCCGAAATGTCATCCCTCACATCTCTCTCAGCATGCAGCTACAGATCACACGCAACCAGCACACTGTCTTACGGATTGGGGAGCAGCGGGCATCTCATCATAACTACTTGCAATATGGCTGCCCCGAAACTACAAACATTGAACGCATGCGATACACCGCAAAAGCGACTGTAACTTCTCAACTTTACCCCGCGCTTAACACTTGCACGTCACATTACACGCTGCTGGTTGGCAAGTTAGTAGCAACTTATACTGCCTCGCACGTCAGATACGCTGTCACAGTTTACCACCCCGAATAGCAGCTTTTGCAAGCCGACAACTATGTAACTAATTCTACAGTCTTGCTATTTGACTCTACCGGTTGAATTTGGATAAAAGCAGCCATTCCGTGGTTGGGGCTTAACTAAAAGTGCTGTATCGGCAAGAAGCGAGCTCTCGATATTCGGCCGTCCGTTTATTGTCATCGCCGTTAGTGGCTTCAGTCCGGGCGCTGCTCCCCGCGGAGTTTCGCGGCCGGCCCGGGGACCCGGTGACGTCACGCCCGGGGACCCGGTGACGTCAGGCCGCTCAGCCGGAGACGGTGAGCGTCTTGCTGCCCTCGATGTCGAATAGCTGGCGGCACTGGAAGCTGGCCACGATCGTCTTCTCACCCGACACGCGCGGAACAAACGATTCCGCATGGGTGAACGTCGCGCCGGGCTGCACGGTGCTGGGGACAGACCGCCGGCAGGTCAGGTCAGAGGGCGGGTCAGACGCCAGGTCAGGTCAGAGGGCGGGTCAGACGCCAGGTCAGGTCAGGTGGGAGGGTGGGCTAGGCGGCCGGTCGGGTCAGAGGGTGGGTCAGACGGTCGGCCGGTCAGACGTTAGGTCAGACGCATCGAGTATAAGACGCGTCAGGTCAGGTCAGACATCGAGTATAAGACGCGAGAAGGGATCAATTCAGACTTCAGACGATCGGTCAGTTCCGAACGACAGCCGATCACTTGAAGCAGTAGGTCACTGGTCACTGGTCAGTTCAGACGGCAGGGATCACGGAGAGGACAGGTCACCTTAGACAACACCGGTCAGCCCACACGGGGGAGGCAAGTGCCAGTTCAGAAGGCGGGTCAAACATGAGCTTCGACGGAGAATAAGACGGCCTTCCGCTATCCACTTAAAACGCGGTTCACCTGGGATAAGGTAGGGGGATATGTTCAAGTGCTCTCCCCTGTCACCTTTCCACTTCGACTAAAGATGATATTCTAAGTTATGGAAAACTCACCCATTTTGGTTGACAATTTCCCACTTCATTGAAAAGAGGAACTGTTGCGAACGATTATCTTTATTTAGATGCTTCATGTTGCAGTTTTTTTCATTATTCTATTTTCTAACTCTAGCCGCACGGATGCATTTAAAATCGTTTCAGGGCATATGATGTTTATTGCCTTTTTGCTTTGATCTGGTTGCTCACACTTGTTTTGAAGGGTTAGACCTTCCGGTCTATAGAAACTTGTTTCAGGGCCATGAGATGGGAGGACAGGGATAATAGCGAAGACATTGGGCTGATCCGCTCCATGGCTGATGCGTTTCAGGGGCTGAGTCCATCCCGTTGGGATGTATAGGTGGCACACAGGTCACCATAGCCACTCAGACGGTCCAGTTAACACGCAGGGGCGTGCTCCTATAGGTATGCCGGCATCTCCGTCTCCGATTGTCTGAGTACCTATAGCGGTATAGAGTGACCGTCAGTCCCAAGCAGGGGAGCCTGGTCAAATATGAGACCTGTCCCGGAACGCGTCCCGCCAATTTTTATCAGTGAACGGTCTTTATTTCCAGCTTTTAAATCGGATCATTGAGCGGCGTCTTTACTTATTTTGAGCCAGTAGCGGCGGAACACCTTCAATTAAGGGGGGCACTGCCGACTTTTGGTCCCATTCTTTCCATGCAACGCCATTAGGGCTAATGTTAAAAAGCCAAAATCAAAGGAGGGCACGGTGCCCCGGTGCCCTCCCCGTCGTTCCGCCGCCTATGGTTCTGGTCTGTGTTGCATGGCTCCAGCCTATGCTTTGATTACTCCCTGGTTCGGTACTACTCTGATAAGTCCTGTTATTTACCGGGTTCCGAGAAAAGGTTTGTGCCGCTGGACGTTTGTTTTTGCCGTTGTGTCCCGGTCTATGAAGCCGTGACCCTATCTTATTTATTATTTTTTTTTTTATTATTTACATTTAAGAGCGATCCACATACAAAGTGCGTGGCGATTACTGCTCAGAATCCGTATCCGCGGTTGCTAATCTAATCATTCAAAACAGTTGCACATTCACTCACGTCAAAACTAGGACAAAACACTCTCAGGACAGCCTCATCGCTTTTACCCACCCCTATCCTATTGGTCAGCGACGATGTGCTGATTCATCGTCCACGATTGCGGCTTTAACAGCGCGGGCGAAGCGGGCGGGAGGCAGCTGCGACAGGTGAGGTGGCAGGCTGTTCAGCAGAGCTGCAGCTCGATAGCCAAACCGCCGCTTGCCCGTTTCCAGCCGTGGACGGGGAAGATGGAAGAAGTGATCTTGTCTGGATGGTCTCTCGCGGATAGCGCTATTAGCGACGAACAGGGCTGCTAGTTGCTCAGGTTCACGGCGCTGTATGACCTTGTGTGCGATGACAAGGGTGTGGAAATCGGACATACCGCGCGGGGACAACCACCCGAGTTTTGTTCGCAGGTCGGAGACATGGTCAAATTTACGGCGGCCGAAAATAACTCTAGCGGCGAAGTTAAGAATTTTTTGGAGTCGATCGAAATTTTTTTGGGACCCATTACCATAAACTGAAAGGCAGTACTGGATACGCGATACAACGAGTGCCGTCACGAGCGTTCGAATGATGCCATCTGGGAGACAGTGGCGCGCATGTGAAAGACCAATCAACAGTCCCGTACACCGGCGGCAGAGTTCAGAGACGTGTGCGTCCCATGACATAGTGCTGTCAAAAGTGACGCCAAGGTTCCCGACTTGTGCGCACGGTTGCAACGCTGCGTTGCGGAATGGTACTCTAAAGTCTGGTAATTTACGAAGATTTTGACGAGTGCCAAATACAATAAGCTGTGTTTTACTTGCGTTCACTTTGAGGGCGTTAGCGCAAAACCAGTCGTTGAGAGACGCGAGCGAGTCCTCCATGCGCGAGATGAGAACTTCGAGGTCCCGAGCTGGACCGCTAACCAATACTTGAGTGTCATCGGCATACACTGAAAAAATTTTTTACTCAGGCCAGGCATTACTCAGTAATAACTCATGAAGAAACTCAGTGAATACGATAGTGGTGCTCACTTATTGGCTGATCTAACTCACATCACCAGGGTGACTTCGTTATGCGTGAGTTCTGAGTGCTTAGTTTCGTGAATTCGAACTGAGTCGGAAATGAGTTTTGCTTGGGCAAATCTAGTTTCCTGCGCAATGCATGAGTTCTCGCGAATTCACGTGCAGTTGTGCGTGAGGTACCCCCGGCTTGAAGATGCGCGCATGCGCGGCAGGGTGAGTTTCCTGCGTGATGCGTGAGTTCGCGTGATGAGTATTATAGCCGTTGCGTTCGAAAACCGCGACGCGCGCTTCAGTCCGTTGCGGTGACTCGCGTAGTTCACGTTGAATTGTTGAGGCTATTGTGAAATTGTGCGGGAGAGTGCAGGAGCGGGGAAGGCGTGCAGCGAAGGATGGGACCGGTAAGTTATCTGTGAAGAGCTCGGTGATTGTCGATGAAGCCTTTATCAATCGCATGCGCCGCGGAGAACAGGGAGGTGAACTGATGGACCAGCAGACATTCCCCGCCGGCGTCAGGAGGTCGGTGCCAACCGTGAACGGCGGAGCAGATCGATCGAGAAACTGAGGGATACCTACCCGGCATAGTTCGAAAAAGAAGAGGTGAGTTATGCTATATTTAAATTTAACCCTTGCATGTGTGCGGCGTTTTCCAGCTTCTAATGTGTAGGGGGGGGGGGGGGGTCGGTTGGATTTAACCGATTTGGTCGGTTAAATTTAACCCTTGCCGTTTGGCCCCTGATCGAGCTAGAGCTTCGCGGAAAAAAACGAGCGTGTTGCCCGTGACGAGAGGAAGCCGATGATACCCAATTTTAAGGTCCTAGGTCATTGGTTGACCTTCCAGGTCAGGTCAATGACCCAAAGTCGGGAAAATCGGGACCTATTAGAAAGTCGTAAAGTGTGGCTGCTAAGGGGTTTTTCGGGGTACTGATCACGAATATCGTGTTAGTTTTGATCACAGATGATGTCTTTAAGCATTTAGACCAGGTCGGGTCAGGTCAGGTCAGGTCAATCAGTAGGCGTCGTGACGGGTATTCGTAGTACGTGTCAACCGCCTCTGACAGCTTCGTAACATGTTACGAAGGCACCAAAACTACTTCGTAAGTGTTCAAATGGTTGTTAAATTCGAATTCAGCTCCAAAAACTAGCCTAGAAACATGTAAAACTCGAAAAAGTGAACCGAGGTCACCCGAGGTCACCAAAGGTCAATGACCTGACCTGACCTTCAGGTGACCTTGACACCCACCCTAATGCATGGGAGCAACATCAAATCACATGTTTGAACGTTTGAAACCACGAAAAGCTTGCAAACGCGCGGCTAATGCGAGCCGACGTACGCCGAATCGCGATTCCGGCCAAACATGGTCTCGGAAAAGAGGTCACAGGTCAAAGGTCATTTGGGTCAGGGTCATGAAAGTTTCAGGGTAGGTGTAAAATTGATCAATGCGATGGTACTGAAAGTTTCGTCGCGATCAGCCGCTTTTTACGCGAGTTATTCGCGAAAAACCATGGGGAAAGGGGGGTCAATCCGACCCCCCCCCTACACATGCGAGGGTTAGAAAAAAACATGTTTGTGGGATAATGTTGTCCTTATCCTAAAAGAACGTTCATTTGACCCTTTTTACTTCTTTAAACAAGAACTCCGTCACGACCCGATGTTTTTTTTTGGGGGGGGGGGCGAAGGTTGTTTGAAGTCGATTCTTTCCATGCAGCATCCATAGGCACAATGTTAAAAATGTAAAATATTGGGGGACACGTCCCCCGTACCCTTCCCCCCCCCCCGGTGGTGGAGCCCATGGTCTTAATTCCGCTCGCTGAACCGTTTAAGATTCTTTTGTCTCGTTTGTGCTTATTATTTTTCCACTGTTATTATTTTTTCCGACTGTTTTTTTTTTAATGCCTACACACATATTTTCGCACACTATTCGATTTCAGCGAGCATTTTCAACCTTCCTTACATATTAGATTATTAGATACCGCGGCGAGACGCGTTTGGACGTGACATACTTATTTCCATTACTGTTAAGTATAACACATTTTATGTGATTGTTTCAAGCTGATTTTAATATTGGACGCCCATGGAAGTGTTTTGCGAGACTAAAACCCGAATGTTAAGGTGACCATCCGACCTTCACCCGCGCTGTGCTGGGTGGCGTTTTACGCCCCCCCCCCCCCCCCACCCCGCCCCCTCAGGTTTTTCGCGAATATCTAAGAACGGCGGCGCGCAGCGCCACCATTTTCGGCACACCTGCTCATACATTTGTTTCTGCATATGAAGAAATTTTAGACCCAGGTCGTTCAAGGTCAGGTCACGTCAAATGACTTAACATCGGAAAAATTTCAATGGTCGCTGACGATCGCACCGTTCGCAACGTGCCATGGAAACCGTTCGATATTTTTGTCATTTTCGCTCAGGGAATTC